AGTTCCTGATAAAATGGAAGGGTTATGGCCCTGAGGAGAGAACTCATGGGAACCCGCCCAGAACATTCACGCTCCCCGGCTCATCCGGGAATTTTTTCGTGGACACCCGCGGTGGAGAGATCAGTGGGGCTCCCGGAGGGTGCCCATTGGGGGGGGGGCAGTGTCAGGGATCACGGCGCCGGAATCCTGCATCACGGCGCCGTCCCCCCGCGCATGCGCACTGGCGGCGAGCCGCGGCTGACAGGACGCCGCGCATGCGCAGTAGAGAGTCGAGGGCGCGCCTCAGGCGTCCAATGACAGCCGGGGGCGCGTCCCAGCCAGCCAATGACAGTGCAGGGCGCACTATTTAAAGATGCCCTGCACTGTCACCCATTGCCGCAAGGTCTTATGTGATCCTGGATACCTGCTCCTGTTCTGTGACCCTGTTTTCAACCCTGACTACGCTGCCTGCCCCTGTGTTTGACCCGGCTTGTCCTGACTACTCTGCCTGCTCCTGCGTTTTGACTCGGATATCCTGACTATTCTACGGACTGATTTACCTGGCTGACCCTGCATGTGACCTGACTACTCCTTGCCCGCTGATTTGGTACCCCGCTTACCCCCCACGGAACCACTATCCGTGCCACCCTGCTGGGGCCGTCATCCGCCTCATATCTGGCTCTCCCGGTACCTACACGCATCCCCGGAGGCCTTCCCAGCCGCTGGTGGGCCCGCCCAGAGGTCGTGACCTGGCCCGGGACTGTTTCAAGTCCATCCCCACCATCAGGGGCCCTGGTGAAGGCACAGCCCGGGCTTAGACCCCACGCTCTGGGTTGGTCTATCAGTTGGCAGCCGGAAGGCTCCGCCTGGCGGATCATAACAATATCTGTATAACACGGTCACCGCAGGCCGGTTATACAGAGGGTTAAACAAAAACAGTAGCGTTCTTTTTAGAGGCAGGAATTCGTAAATTGCAATTAAGAGCTATAGAAACAGTTCAACACTTTCAGAAGGAAAGATTTATTACTGAAAAGTCAAGAAGGGGTGCAATAAAAATATTTACAGAGCAAAGATGTAACCAATATATATATAAATATACAGAGAACAACAGCATAGCAAAGAGATAATAGAAAGGAGGTTAAGGGGTTAAAGTACTTGCCAAAGTCCTAGGTTAGCAGATCAAGTTTCAGAGCAGAAGGGTGCTTTGATCTCCCCCTGTTCTGATGGTCATTGGGAGAATTCTTCAACATTACCTTCTTAGGCCTGACAACCCAATTTGTAGTTCCCTAGCAGGAGGTGTCTCTGAAGTCAAGGACCAATGCCCTGTTTAGGGAGGAATCGCCGGGGCGGATACCTAAACTAGAGCCAAAATCTCTTCTAGTTCATACTTTGGCTCATAACTTTCCATCTGCATAAGTGACACTCCACCCGCTGGTAGATTATTATGCAGACACGTCTGAGGATTGATTAGATATTAAATATGAAATTCTACACTGAATGGTTCAAGAGATCTACTTTTCTGCTTTCCTATGTATTCCAACCACGGAGAGTGACCTATCAAAAATGTTCGTCTCCTCTTGGCCAATCTGACGATATGCCTGTTTTTTTATGTAAGTCTCTCTTATTTCAAGATATGAGACATAGGGGAAAAATGGATTTTTAAAAAGGTTATCTGGTTCAATGTCTTTTGAACTCCTGGGAAGGCTGAGTTATCTTTTTACGAGGTGTTAAATTGCACAGATTCCTTGGACAGTGATGCACTTCCTGGCTCCCTGCTGGGCTCTGGCCTGTGACACTTTTAACACACACACACACTGGCCAAATGTCCCTGTGACTCTCAGAGAGGGAGGGGGAGAATGAGGGGGAAATATGTTTGGCAGGATACTTAACCCCTTTGGTTTGAAGCCAAAAGGGTTGAACCGCATCCATCTCTGGGTGTACGCCTGCCACACCATAGCTTAGAAATCATGTGCTTGCACTGATGGACATAAAAAAAAAGATATTTGTACAAAAACTATTTTAATAATTGTAGGCAGCATGGGTATGAGGAGGGGGGGGGAGGGAGCAGCATTTAAACCTCAAGTATTAGCCTTCCACTTTAATCTAGTAAATTGGAGTGTGGCCCCAAAGAACTGTGTGTATGACCACTGCACCAACCAGTGAATATTATTTCAAGAAATATATCTTAGAAATGTTATTGTTATAAGTTAAGACTGTTTTAAAATGAAACACTTTAAAATTGTTTTTATTACAGAACCTTTTTGCCCAGTAGTATGAATGCTGTTCTTTTAGAATATATTGGACTGCAGTCATAGTTAAATGAAATTGTATTCATAACATAAACTGGAACTGTAATTAGAGATTCAGAAAAAAATCCAATTTATTGTATTTGCTATAAAAATTGAAATAAAATAGAATTAGCGACCAGCAAAACATAAGTTTAAAAATAAATAATGGCATAGTAAATTAGTCATTTGCAAAATATTACATATTTCTTGTATACACATATTCACAAAACAAGCTGATAAACCGGATACAACTAATTTTCCATTGCAATTGTGTAAAAGCGATTTTTTTACTACTATATGCAGCTTTTAATGTATCCCACTTGTACAGATGTGATTACTGGCTCATCAACCTCTACTTAAAAATTTTACTTCCTGCCTGCACTTTACTTAGCATCTGTTCCTTTCTGAAAATCCTCCTGAAACTTTCATATACTTATTCATAAATGTTTTTAAAACCTGTTTTTTTTAAATGACCCACTTTATGTAAATTACTGAATGTACAGTATTTATGCTGGCCCTTTATGTGTTTTTCCCATTTAGTAAAATCAACAGGTTCAGTTTATTGTCCCCTAGCATATACTTACATTTTCCTTTGCTGCTCTATCACTTGCTTCACTGGGAGCCAAAGGAAATACTTCTAGGTATGGAGAAGCCTGTGCCTCATTCTTTATAACAGTGATTGAGCAAACAGTGCTGTCACACAGAAAGTTATTAGCTTTTTTTCTAACTAACCCAGGGTTGAGAAAAGGTATATGCTTATGGTGACTCCTAAAATAAAGTAAATCTGTTGGTTTGCCCTGTGTGGGCAAAGCATTTGTTTACTTTAAGCCTTCAGCCTTTTTTATTCTGCATTCAAGTTTTGCCACCTAAAGGTCCTTACACATGGCCACCAACATAAAAAAAACAAGGGAAGAAAAAAGCAGCATGCCAAAAAAGTATACCAAAATAATGCCTTTTTTCTCACATATTTATTGTTTTTGTTTAAGTAAGAAGTCATAAGGAATTTTTTGTTTTACAAGTCTAAAGGTGACTAATTCCCTTACTTTGATTGTCTATAGTTACCTGAGGAGTTATTTTCGAACTGCTCTGTAGATAATCAGGTATGTTAGTCACTATCCAACACCAAAGGGAATCCTTCAACAACCAGTTATAAGTCATTTTGAACTAGTCTATATACTGTATATTTAAAGGCCAGACTTTGTTCATGTTTGATAGAGTACGGAATGGTAATATCTCTATCAGGTTTTTTGTTACCCTAGGTGTCCATTAGTGAGAGTTCCCCATGCCTTCCTGACTGGTACACTCTAGGAAGTTAGAGGAAATATCCCCATAGTGATGGAAATCCCCTCTTTGACTGGAACAGGTTTCCCCATTAGAAGATTTGACAACTCATAATGTTGGATATTTCTTTTTACTTTTTTGTTTTAGTGATCCTGGTCTCCAGGACAAATAGAAAAGTGTATCTCCCTATCAGGGTAAGAAAGACGTTCCTTAAGGAAATATGTGGTCTATAAAAGATGGCCTTTGGAAAATTCTACTCATCAGACCCAGAGAAAGCATGCAGCAAATGTTAGAAAAATGTCTATACTCTACACTTGCTACAGGTCAATGATGCATCAGCAGGGCAGCCAGAGAAATAGCATTTTTAGATAGGTAAGTCAAGGCAGCCCTCATATTTCTCTCATGATGTGTGTACTTTAAGACCACTTGTGTGACTTGTCATGTGACTGGACATCAGAGTTGCATGACAAGTCTTACCCATGTTTTCCAATGATAGCCACTCATATATGTGCGACCTAAAGTTGCAACGACTTCAAAGTAGTTCATGCACTACTTTGGTCCGACTTTTATGCTACTTGAGGTTCATGGACTTCAATATTAACCCACAAAAGTTACATGAAAGTTGTACCTGAAAGTTTTACATGCAACGGTGGTGCAACAGTGAGTAGATTTTGCACAATGACAAATCATATCCAAGTCGCACCCATCGAAAGTTGTATCAAAGTTACATCAAAGTTTCAGTCCAAAGTCTAGCAACTTTGGACTCATACAAGTGTGAATGGAGACTAACTCTATATTTGTATCCTTTATCCACTATATCTTTTGTAAGCTCAGAAGTTAATAGCACCTATTTAGATGAGCAGTATATGAAGTAAACATGTAATCTGCAAAGTGATATGTAAATTGATATGTGCCTAATTGTTGGTGGCAAAATGAATTTTAAATGTGAAAAAAATCTGCAAAATAAAATTCTGTATTTTTAATGAAATAGTAACACAAAACATTTTTCTCAGTCGTGTTTCAACATGCAATTTGAAAGTTCAGGGACCTTTGTTCAGTACAGTGCTTTATCAAATATGAGTGTAAGCAGCTGTAAAAACAGCCTTAACAAGTCCCAGGAGAACTATAAAATGTCAGAGTCTGATAATGTGAACAGCTATGCCCATGACTTTTCCTGGGGGCACTCTTTGTGCTCACCTTGCTTAACACAATAAAACAGGTTAGAACAGGAGAAGGAAGTTTGCAAAAGCAATGTGGCAATGATAAGCATTATTTGTTCATCGATCTGTCCTTGAAAAGTTACTTATCCATTACTGTCTTTGCTTGTCTTTCTCACATATAAATTTTTCAAGGAATGAAAAAAGTTGTAATTTAAGTGGTGCCATAACAGTTCATTGTACAGCTTTGTTCAAGTTTTTGGAGGGGTTCTGTTCCTGCGGTCTGATTCTGTGGTTATTTCAATTTAGTTTCTGGTGGCATCACATGATCACAGGGATTCAGCTGGTCAAGTTCCTCATTGAGTTTGTTGTTAGCATGAAACATCTCTTGCTTCTGAAGATATGCAATGACGTTAGTAGACTGACTCTTAAGATGTTTTTGAATCACACATTCACGACACCTCTTAATCACTAGGTATCCTATCTCACACAGATTAAGCACAATACAGAGTGCTGTTGTGGCCACCATAAATAATGTGAAAATATTTTTTTCAGTAGGTCTTGATATAAAGCAGTCAACAATGTTAGGACATGGATTCAACGTACACTTGACAAGTCTTGGCAATGAATAGTTCTGATAAATACGATGGAAGATGTAGAGAAACACTACATCCACCAATGCTTTGGCTATAAGACTGATAAGATAGGTCCACCATAAACCTCCTCGCTTCTTTCCAGTGTCTACATACAGCCGTCCACAGTTCTCACCTTGCTTTTCCCTGTGTTTTCTTTCACGATCTTCTCGGTAGGCCACATGCATAATAACAAGAAGAGATGGACAAGTGACCAGTATAAGCTGAAGAGCCCAGAGTCTGATGTGTGATACTGGAAAGTAATAATCATAGCAGACATTGGTGCATCCGGGCTGTTTTGTGTTACAGTCAAATTCGCCTTGTTCATCACCCCAAACCCTTTCAGCTGCTACCACATAAACCAACAAGCGGAAGACAAAGACTACAGATAGCCAAATGCGTCCAAAGCCTGTTGAGAAATGGCTTGCTCCACTCAGGAGGCCTTGAAAGACAGCCCAATTCATGGTTTACCTTTAAAAACAGGAAACAAAGGTTATTAAAAAAAGTATTTCCAAATTGTAGGCGAGGTTACATGCATTGAAATGTAGAAATTTTATCTTATGGTATGCGGAAATGTTTGTGTGCCAATATGTGTTTAAGCTGAAGATTATGTCCAAATCTTGGAAAATGGCATGGGTTAAAGTGCAACTGTAATGAGAGAATTACATAGGATGCCATTGCTGAAATATAATAGCAAAAAGTTCAGTGAGCGCTAACCAAAGCAGCAGATACACTAAAAGAGAAACCATACAACCTTAAAAATGACATAAACATAAATAGTGCAGCCCTAGAAATGATGTATATAAGTGCACCAATAAAAATATATATAACAAATGGTGCAGAGTTACTTAAATGATATCAAATGGTGTAGACCACATGATGTGTGTATATAGTTTTCAACAAAAATACAGTGATACTGTTTATATTGCACACCTTCACTTCACTATATAAATGCACAATATAAATGATAGTCCAATAAATATCTAGTGGTGAAAAAGCCACGGATGAACTGAGAAGAAAGTGACTTGATTAGATCCCAGTGACAAATTATAGTCCAACGTCGTGCAGGAAAAATGAGTAAATTGCACACTCACCAGAGGCGCAATTTAAATGCGCATTTGTGTCATATACACCAGAGATCCCTCCAGCTGTGGGTGGAATGAAGCCTGGAATGGATGACTCCACAATGGGAGGTACTGCATCTCCCCTTAATGGGGGTCCCCTTAATGGACCTGGTTCTACTCTGTGCTCGATATGGAGCAGAAAGGAGTACCCATAGTGTAGTATTTAGGTCAAATTTTTAAAGCAAATCGTCATGGCTCTTATCCCTTCTGATGAAGTACGTGTGATACGAAATGCGCGTCAAGGAGGAGCCCCTGCTAGCCGTGACGTCAAGCCGCCGGATCAAGGAGGTCCAGCGGCCACCCATTTATACCAGCTGGTCAGTGTGTATTTTAATACATCCTTTGTGCACAAGGATTGGTTTTACTACAATACTTAAGAAAAGTGTGTTTTTTGTTCTAATCTTCAATAAATTAATTCAAAATTTGACCTAAATACTACACTATGGGTACTCCTTTCTGCTCCATATCGAGCACTTAACTATGGAAAAAGTATTAAGGTTTAGATCCTGACATTAGTTTACAGCTAACTTGTTCTAGTTTTCAATAGAAGGCAAACTAAGCACAGCTAAGCAAATAGCATTTTCACTAGGAGGACAGCATTGACAGCTGCCGAACTGAGAAAGGAAGAGGGAGTACTACAGTCAGATAAATTAGCAGCTAACAGATTTGCCTAACCTGGCTTTTGTAACACTGTGATGATGTTGAGGCCTGGGCTGAGCGTGGGTGCCTGGATATTTCACAAGCTGACACTCCAGAAAGTATTACATTTCTTGCTGAATTACAGGATTTGTAATTTTTATATGTTCCTCAATAACTGTAACATGCAATACTTCTGTAAGTACACCTAATACAGATTGCCTGCCTGTATTTATTAGTGAAGCTAGAAGAGCCAACAGGGTCTCTTTAGGCCCCTTTCATATAGGACGATTTGCGTTCCAATCAGCAGTGAATCCGCTCACAGATCCCCTACTGATTGGAGCAGAGCTGGTGGATGACACATCCATGTCTGCTCAGTTTCTGCAGAGCGAACAAACAGTCTGTTCTATGGCTGATTCCTGCTCTCTCATTGTTGCTTCCCTGAACTGCCAGTCTTTAAAGGAAAAACAGACTCTGCTGTACATTTACACCTGACTACCCTCCTATCTGATCCACCTAAACAGAAAAGGATAAATAACCTTCCTTTTTTTTTTAGCGGACCGGATTGGACACAAGTTCATTTACACCTGCCTGTTTTTGTGAATGCATATACCTTCCAATCAGGTCAGCCTGAAAAACTGACAGTCAGATTTGATTGGATCACCTGTGTGAAAGGGGCCTTAAAGTGATATTAAATCCTCAGTTTTTTAAATCACTTAAATCACTTACTGAGTATGCAGTCTTCTCATCTTTTAACCCATGTCTATGTATCAGGTTTCCTGCTTCAGGGTGACTCCTTTCTCTTGTAGCATCCTATGGAGCCACCCTTGCATGCAGGGACTAGAGTTGTAAACAACTAGGACCAAAGAAATCCCAATAGGAGGTTACAAGGCGTGCCAGGTGGCTTATTAAGAAAAACAGGCTTTATTTCAATCCAAAAGATACAAAAAACATAAAAGAGCAATAGATTACCTTCACTGTATAAAAAATTAAAAAAGACAACGTTGTCTGGTCAAAATGTAGGGTTGTACAGCCAGCACACTACAGAATCATCATACTCATCCACACATTACGGGTTAACCTAGCGGTAATCAGGGGGGCTAAAGTCCATGAAGAGTGAATAGGTACCAGTATGGGGCAATAGATCTGGGTCGTGAATGCAACCTCAGCTATCCAAAGGTATGAGTGCTGTGTCAATAGTCCTAGATCCAGATGTGAATACTGTATGTACATAAGTAAAATAAAGGACCACAGACTAAGTGTGTGTGAAAGTTATTTTGCAGTCCAGTCTAGTGGATATCAAAATAGCAGTAGAGCTATCAGTAAAGTACAGCTGCTCTTCCCTGTGATGGTGAGCTCACTGTGGGAAAAGTTCAGGTGACCAATAGATATGGTAATAAGCATATACGTGACATACATCTAGGCTCACCCATCCCACTTCGGAGCATCCATAGTGGCTGTCAATCCATCCAGGACATAACATCTCTTCTCTCCACGTGATGGCAGTTGCTAGAGCCTCTTGCTCTTAGAAGGGTCACAGGGAAGCATGTTGGTGTACAGCCCTCGGTGGCTGTAAATAATGGAGGCTACTCAGACCGCCATCTTCATGATGACATCAGCTACGTCAGTGACATAGTTACATACACTCCTACAAGTTTCACCCAATAATCTTGGGCTTCTTCAGGGACACTTCTTTAACACACACTTCTGTGGTCCTTTATTTAACTTATGTACATGGTCACATCTGGATCTAGGACTATTGACACACAGCACTTATACCTTTGGATAGCTGAGGTTGCATTCACGACACGGATCTATTGTCCTATAGTGGTACCTATCCACTCTTCATGGACTTTATTCCCCCTGTTAATTACCACTAGAATAATCCGTAATGTATGGATGAGTATGATGAGTCTGTGGTGTGCTGACTGTACAGCCCTCCGTTTTGACTAGACAACGCTATCTTTTTCAACTTTTTATATGATGTGAAGGTAATCTATTGCTCTTTTATATTTTTTGAATCTTTTGGATTGAAATAAAGCCTGTTTTTCTTAATAAGCCACCTGATCCGCCTTGTAACCTCCTATCAGGCTCTCTTTGGCCCTAGTTGTTTGTAGGTTAGTTGTGAATTAAGCAAATCACACCATTTTACTTGATGTATTATTTTTTTAGGTGAGTCGGCTTCATCACACGTGGATTATAAGAATTTTTACCACGTCATAGGGCAGCTGACCTATGTGTTGGTCCATGGTGCCATTTTTAATTTTTGATTAAGGAACTAGAATTGTGTCTCCCTACACTGTCTGCATCAATAGAAACACACAGCCCCATAGCCTAGAATGGCAAGGCACTCCCCTGCAACTCTCCTAGTCTTCTTTCTGCAAGCTAACAGATTGACTAGACACTACACTATCCACTGTTAACTTTTTCCTTTAAAGACTGGCAGTTCAGGGAAGCAACAATGAGAGAGCAGGAATCAGCAGAATTAAAAGTTTTATCCTGCAAGTGCTGGTATAACAATATTAACAGTTTTTTTTTACTAGGGAATTTTTATTTTATTGTGTTGAATGTAATAAACCAAAAAAAAAAAGTTATGTGTTTAATATTACTTTAAAGTGTTTGTAACCCTAAAAATAAAATGTAATAAACATGTCTCTTTAAAGTGGCTCTAAAGGTAGAAGGTTTTTTTACCTTAATGCATTCTATGCATTGAGGCTTTTTACCTTCTGGGAGCAGCTTCCCCCCCGACCCACCTTATACTTACCTGAGCCCCATCTCGATCCAGCAATATGTATGAGAGCAACAGCTCTCCCGGGTCACTGCCTCGTCATTGGCTCACACAGCAGAGAGAGCCATTGGCTTTTTCTGCTGTCAATCACAGCCAGTGAGCCAATGAGGATAGAGCGGGGGCAGGGCTGAGCCACACTCTGTGAGCATGGCATTCACAAGAGAAGCTCAGAAGCAAGCCTACTCCAGTGCCCCCATAGCAAGAGGCTTGCTATTGGGGGCACTTGGCAGAGAGAGGAGCAAGGACCACCGGTGTGGGACCCAAAAAGAAGAGGATTGGGGCTGCTCTGTACAAAACCATTTTACAGAGCAGGTAAGTATAACTTTTTTTTTTTATTATTTCAACCTTTACAATTACTTTAAGACTTTTAACTGTGTTTTTTATTGTACTCCTTATGTAGTAGCTGGTTGATTCTGTCATTGTCCACTTCATGGCTGTAAACTGGCCATGCTAAGCACAGAAGTCAATCCGTGCTAGAGTGATCAGTTTGCGTTTTTTCTCATCCCATTCAGAGTTACAGGCACGCTGTGCAAGTACACAGCCATCGGATCCCCATGTTTTAAAAGGGTATCTAAACGCTGTTTTTTAAAGAACTCAGAGAACTGTGGATTGTTTTTAGAGATAACTGCGGTATGTTTTTATAGTTAAACATATATATTTGTTTCTAATACTTGCAACTACGGCATGCTGTGGCAGCTCAGTGTTTTCCCCTCTGATTTTTTTCTCTCTCCCATTCCTGTGTTTTCAAGTCGCTTCCAGTAAGGGTTTTATTTCTAAATGCTACTCACAGCCAGGGGCGGACTGACAAATCATGGGGCCCCCGGGCAATAGGGGATCATGGGGCCCCTGTGTCCTTGCCCAAACTCAAAAAAGCCTATGAAAAAGATACCAGGGGCATCTCAAGCGGCCCTCTACT